CCAAGGAAAAAGTTAATTGGACCCATTGAGCTCATTTCAAACTTAGTCTCCATCAGCTTTCTGAATTCAGCCGTTAAGCTTGGATTCGTGGAGCCAAAGATGATGTCATCGACATAAATTTGAACTATCATAAGGTGGTTACCTTCCTTTTTGCGAAAGAAGGTTGGGTCAACCGAACCTTGTTTGAATTTAGACATCTTTAAAAATTTTGTAAGCGTTTCATACCAGGCTCTCGGAGCTTGTTTAAGGCCGTACACAGCTTTATCCAGAATATAGCAATGATTTGGATGCTTTTCGTTCACGAACCCAGGAGGTTGCTCCACGTACACCGTTTCTTCAAGTTCTCCATTGAGAAATGCACACTTGACGTCCATTTGGAAAACTTCAAAGTTCTTGTGGGCAGCATAAGCCAGAAATATTCTAACAGATTCTAGCCGAGCTACTGGAGCGAAAGTCTCTTCATAGTCTATCCCTTCCTCCTGACAATATCCCTTTACCACCAGACGGGCCTTGTTCCGTATAACATTACCTTCCTTGTCCATTTTGTTCCTAAAAACCCATTTGAGACCAACAACCGAAGCTTCTGGAGGAGTTGGAATTAGGCGCCAGACTTTTTCCTTTCAAATTCGTTCAACTCGTCTTGCATTGCTTGAACCCAATCAGAGTGATCGAGAGCAGTGTTAACTGTCTTTGGTTCAACTTTTGATACGAATGAATTGAACATGCAAAACTCTACCTTTGAAAATAAGGAAGTTTGTTTTGCCTTCAGTTGTGATCGGGTCAGAACCTTTTCAGATACATCCCCAACTACTTGAGAGACAGGATGATCTCTGGTCCATTTGATAAGAGGAGGGTAATTTGGATCAAAGGTTGGGTCTAATTCAGCATTGATTATTTCGTCTAGCTCAGATTGGCTGTCATAACCGAGTGTCACATCATCATGTTCCACCTCAGTTGGTGTACTTTGGAAGATATGAGGTTCGTGTGATTCTAGTGGGCCTGAGCTTCCTGGTGTTGAGACCTCTTCGGTTGAAGTTGTGGAATTTGGCTCCCCCTGGACTTGAGCGTTTGGCTCCCCCTCGACTTGAGCACTTGGCTCCCCCTCGATTTGAGCTTCGTTGGAAGGAGAGTCGTTAGAGATTGATACTTCTTCATACATTCTCCTTGCAGCATCTTCGACAATCTGCTCCATGTGATCAACCTTTGTTATCTGCTGCACCTGCTTCAGAAAGTGAAGCATTCTCTGGTTCGTCAAAGAGCTCCAGAAATGTCTCGAATAAATTAGCAACCGAGACTGTAACCATGCCATTTAGAGGAAAGATTTCCCCAGTGATTTTCTTTAGCCTGCAGCTTCTTGACATAGTTGTCGTCAAAGGTCACATAATACGTCTCTTCAATTTTTCTTGAACGTTTATTTAGGACCCTGTATGCCTTGGATGTGAGCGAGTAACCAAAATATTCCTTCGTCAGCTTTGACATCAAACTTGTTGCGGTGTTCTTTAGAGTTGAAGATGAAACATCTTGAGCCGAACACATGGAAAAATTTCACGTTTGGCTTCCTGTTGTTCAATATCTCATATGGGGTGAGAGCGAACCTTTTGTTGAGATATGACCTGTTCTGTGTAAAACAAGCAGCAGAAATAGCATCAGCCCAAAAATAAAGAGGTAAAGAAGCGAAACTTAGCATAGTTCGGGCAGCTTCACACAAGGATCGGTTTCGTCTTTCGACTATTCCGTTCTGTTGTGGTGTGTAAGGAGCTGAGAAATTATGACTGATTCCCTTTTCTGCAAGAAACTCTTCAAACTCCCTGTTCTTGAATTCGAGACCATTGTCGCTTCTGATGTTGCGAACAACCTTCTTGAGCTGTACTTCAATTTGCTTAATAAACACTTTCAGCTTTTGAGTCGCTTCAGATTTGAGCTTTAGAAAGAACACCCATGTAAATCGTGAAAAGTCATCAATGATAACAAGAATATACTTGCTACCACCGATGCTTTCGATAGATGAAGGACCACACAAATCAATATGAATTAATTCTAGTGGTTCAACAACTTTTGTGTTGATTATAGATGGATGACTTTGACGACTCTGCTTTCCCATTTCGCATGCAGCACACAGATGATCCCTGTCGAACTTGAGTAGTGGAAGGCCCCTTACATGACCTCCTGTAACAAGACGGTTGATATCTTTAAAGTTAAGATGAGATAATCTTCGGTGCCACAACCAGCTTTCATCGGATTGCGCTTTGACAACAGGCATATAGCTGGGTTTCCTTTGATGGGTTTTATGTTTAAGGAAACATTTCACCCTTTCGTTCTGACTTGAGAATCACTTTATTTGACTTTTTCTCTATGATTTCGGAACCTTCATCATCGAATGAAACTTTGAAGACCTGTACCTCCAACAAGCTGAGATACACTAATGAGGTTGTGTTGGAGACTTCCACATAAGCCACCTTCCTTATAGAGAAGTCTCCATTGGTTATCATCCCGTATCCCTTTATGTGCCGAATGAATTATTTCCAAACTTGACGTTGCCACCATCTGCAAGAGATCTGTATTCCCTAAGCTCCTCTTTCCTCCCTGTCATGTGACGCGAGCAGCCACTATCAATGTACCATTCTTCGTCGAACTGCTCGTCACTTATAACCTGCAAAAATTTAGACAGATTTAGGAACCCAAAGTTTCTTGGGTCCACGTGAGCTTTGCATTGAAACAGGAGCAATGAGAGAGATATCAACAAGATAAGTTCTTTTTACGAGAGTTGTTTTATCTTTCCTTTTAATGGTGTAAACTTTTATTTTGTTAAGATTACTAGAGTTAGATTCGGTCTCTGATGTGGATTTATTGACCTTCTGCTTCCACTTTTGCTCAGTTGATGAAGGAGATTTTTGAGAACAAAAAGAATCAGATTTAGAACGAGATCGAGATGAAACTGAGGGTGAGGAAGAATTAGAAGAATGAGAAGAATAGACTTGAAAGGAGACTCTAGGTGACCCTTTTTTTTTGATTATTGGAGGAAACAACCTTAGAGTTTTGTTTTCTTTTGTCTTCAGAACCGAACCTTTGCGTTCGGTTGGAGCTGCCTTTGGAACCGAACCTTTGGTTCTGGTTGATATCTTTTTCAGAACCGAACTTCTGCCTTCGGTTGATATCTTCTTGTGAACCGAACCTTGGCTTTCGGTTTTTGTGACTTTCAGGCTTTCCTGCAGGAATGTTTTCATACTTTAGATTCTTGTCTTGATAATGAAGTATGCATTCTGGGAACGCCAGAATTGTTTCCTTTCAGAAAGGTTTTTCCTGTATCTATTGTTCCTTTCTATCTTCCTATTCCTCATCTGAGAAGGTTGATGATGAACATTTGCTTTCGTTTTTGTTGACACCTTGGTTGGTTCCTTTTGAACTGCAGCGGTTTTACTTTGAGCTGAAGAAGCGAGGAATATCTTCTTTGGTGAGTGAACATTCTTCTGAGGAGTATCTTGTGTACCACTGGTGCTTGACTCATTGAAGTTATTAGCTTGTTCAACGGTTCGGGTATGTATCTTCCTTTGCTCTTCCATGAAGTTCTTTCAGATAAACCAATGGTTTCGTCTGCATTATCAATAGGAGCTTCCCAGAAGTACTCATCACAGCCATCAGCATTGTCTTCGTTTACAATGGCTGTAAGTTCAACTGTTTGATGTTCGGTAACTCCTGTTACTTGTATACTTGATTTGGAGTAGTCCTGACCTTTTGATACACAACAACTTTCTCAACTAATTTCGGGACTTATGATGGGACAACCGAGCGAATTCTACAGAATTTTCAGAAATTAGATTCTTGTGATTTTCTGGCTCGGTTTTAATAAAATTCTGAGCAGTCAACCGTGTCCTCTACAGAAATTTCACTCATATTTGTCTCCTCGTTAAGCTCAGATGCATTTTCAACATCAATTTTGTTTTCTGAGCTTACGTTGGCGTT